TACTATATCATTATAATGAGATCATTTTTTTTTTTTGTGGCGGAAACGGGCTTCCATAAGTTACAGATACTAGTTCTGTGTGGGGAGAAATTATTCACAAAGCTCAATTTTGCTGCTGATAAAGCTTGTTGGTGAAATTTAGACAATTTTAGTGGTAATTTTGAAACCTCAAAATCACAATTTAGAAGAAAGGATAAGTCTCTATGAATTTTCTAAAAATATTCTGTGGTATAAAGTACCAAAGAGATTCTGGCTTTTTCAAACATTCTTTTATCCATTTTATCTTAAAGGTATGGTTCATATCCATATAGTCTAACAATTCAATGCCACCATTACCTCTCGGAGCTGCTAAGATCTTTTTTTAAATAGTGGCAAATCTATCAATCGTGAAAACTGACTCTCTATGTGTGTGAATTCAATATGCGTCCCCGGTCTGTTGCGCGCTCTCGTCACCACGACGCCATTTTGATTCGAAATTTATGACTTCAGTTTCTCCTGCCTTGCTTGCTAAACTTAGCCGTGCGTTGAGTATCTTTGTGCATGAGTCCAAATCATACATGTACATATAAAATAATACGTGTTGCTAACAATGCCAAGAAGTAATTAATGCAGGCGGGTCGGGGACTGAACTGTTTCTACATTCAGAAGTGCTCAACGTTAGCCAAGTTGAGCTAGTTGATGTTAGCCTTGTGCAGTATGAACCATTTTCAAAACAAACCACTCAGGCTAACGGATGCTAGCCCAGCGCAGCTAGCTAGCAGTTAGCTTGTGACCTAGAGCTGTGGACTGTGGATTTTGGGGGTGCTGTTTCGCCCTCTTTTAAATATATACTTTTGACCCTCCAACTGAGATGGCCGCAGCGTCTATCTGACGGATGAGATTCATCCCAGATATTATCTTTTATCCCTAGTTTAACCCTTCCTGACCAAAGCTGTGGTTGTCTCCGGCTGGTCCAGAGGTGAAGCGTGGAGCTTTGTCCGCTGGCTGGGAAGGAGCAAGGGGGCGGCGGTCGCTCGGCTCCCGCAGCACAATAGGCCGAGCGGCGCTGAGCTGCGAGGGCCGTCAATACCGTCAATTTGTATAGTTTTGCTTCATCCTTTTAACACCTTCTTTACCAGAGATATTCATTATTAGCTTAATAGTTAGCTCATTACTGATAAACAATACTCAAGCTTGTTCAAACTGTCAAAGAAATGATAGTGATGTCATGTTGACTGGTGGTCAATAAAGCCTCAAATCAAGCTCCCTTTTTAGCTGCAGATGGGCTTAAGGCCAATTTATGCTTCTGATGCATAGCCTCTGCAACCGTCAAATCTGTCTCTGTCTGCGACCACTCCCCCAGCGCAGAGGTTCTGCAACCGTTGTCGCGCACCTAAAAAAAAAAACTCCTGACTACGCGTCGGACGGTCGCAGGATCAGCGCAGATTCTGACCCGCGCAGACCTCAAGGGGAAGTGCTGCAGACAAAAAGCAGCTGTGATTGGTCCTTGGTATGCCTTTCTGGCCGTGTGTGTGGTCGTCCTCCTCGATTCGGTCCCGGGGCGCGCCATTTTTAAAAACCGAGGAACAATGGACAAGTACGAAGAAAGGTTAATCGAGGAGGTTCGGAAGTACAACCACGGTGCCTCAGACAAATTATATAAATAAATATATCCCCTTCGATGTCTATCAACTCTAGATCCATCCCCAATACCGTGATATCTTGCAGACGCGCCATTGTTGTTTTGGAAGATAAACACTCCCGCTGGCACCGCCAAAGTTCTCGTGACCATCCACCGAAGTTTTCGCGAGTTCTCGAACAGGCTTCTCCTTGCGCTTTGGTGGGAAACTGCTGTGCGTCCCTAGAAATTCCAGATCGATGGTGCAGAAGCATACCAGCAAAACTGGTTCGCGACCAGACCCAAGTGACATTTAATGTGTGCGTTTGCAACATTATAATCTGCCCTTTAGGCTAATTCTGCTTTTCCATAAAATCATCCACCAGCAGCCAGGGACGCCATTAAAACCATGAAGAGAAATTAAATCATGTGCTAGAGTATCAAGTTGGTCCAAGTATCAGGAGAAATCCCCCAGACAAAAACAAACAGGTCATAGTAACATTAAACATGCATGTATGTGTCAGGATGACCTTTATCTACTTGCAATAGTCCATGCAGTGGATCAGCAGAAATACTGATCATGTTTGGACGGTTTCTGTCGTTTCTGTATCTTGATATTCAGCCTTTCTCTTAAACTGGCACCATTGTATGAAAATGAGCTTATGCTACTTTAATGTTGAAAGAGAAGCGGAATTAGGAGCTCATATCGTTCTTCCTGTGTTCACCCTCATCACACTATTGTAAATCTGCTGTCCTTGTTATCATAGTTTCCACATAGCCTTTCTACGTAGGCTAATGAAGACATGCCGGTCAGACCGGCTACTCAGGCTAACCCTCAATCTGATCTACAACACTTCATATGTACCCTGTATGTTAAATGAGAAAGTATATTATCTTATATGCGCAACATAACGATCGACTCTCCAATCAACCCTGGGAGATGCTAACCCAGATGGAGAGTTATGCTACAAACAGCTCCAGTTTCTAGTTAAGGCAGTTTATGGTTAGCATCACGATCAAAACATTTTCAGATATACTAGACCAATGCTGTACAACCAGGGCTTATCGGATTAATCGCAATAATTGTTTATTGAAATAATTGTCAATTAATTTAGTAATTATTTTAGCTAACAAAGAGCATCCCACTAAGAGTAATTACATCAAAACTGTAAAATATACACGTATATAAAATTCAATCAAATTCAGTTTATTTCTATAGCGCCAATTCACAACACATGTCATCTAAAGGCACTTTACAGTTCACCAGATCGTACATAAATATATAATCACTCTATCCAGAACTCCTCAAGAAGAACAGTTTTAGGTTCACCTGGATTAATTTCATAAAAAGTCTCCTTTTTATGAAATTATGTGATTATTAATCGAATAAAACTAATGACAGATTAACAGATTTGCAAAATAATCGTTTTTAGGCCTAGTTACCTTTTAAATCATCATTCGTTATCTTTTAAGTAGATTCTTTTTTTTTATTTTCTTATGCTAATGGCGTTACCTCTAGCTAATATACAGTAAACAGTAGATCACAAGCTGATCCCATTTGTTCGATATCTCATGCACAACGGCTCATGAAAACTTTGAGGCAGCATCTCAGTGTTGCATTGTCTGCATTTAAACCAAACAATACGATAAATAACAGCTCTGCTAATATTAGCATTAAGGTGTTTACTCTGTATGTTCCAGTACATTAAAGATATAGAGGACTATCTTTTACTTACGGGTGGATCATCTAAATAAGTGGTCCTCCTAATTGTCAATCATTCTGGTGATATGTTAGGATGAGGTCGTCCTACATGCTTGCCCTGTTAGCTACCTTTTTCTGCTTGGCGCACTTTCAGGCGTATATCTGTGGTGAGCTACAGTTTCAGACAGTCAATGAACCTCACCTTTCTCACCACAGTTCTTTGCAAATGGCCGAGGGTTGTAAGAGAAGAAGTGTCTACGAAGTTTATGAGAAGAAAAAAAGGCCTCAGAAGAGGCAGATATTTCCCAGAATGCTTTACGCAGAGCGCTCTCCTTGCAAAGCATTATGGGCTTTGCTGTCACAGCGGCCTGCTGTCGAGAAGCGAAAGCAGCGACTAATAACAAAGCTGGCACAGGCACCACATAGTGAGGAGTTACGTGACCAATGGGGAACAAAAACTGTCAGTTAACTGAGCTCACTGAAAGCCCACTATATAGTCGCCGTTCTATATAGTGATTGAGGGATTTAGGGGTTAGGGCGGACGTTCGGACACAGTAAGCTTGTATGAGCTATGAGAACAGCAACTTTTAAACAGAGTGCACAAGCCCATTTCTTCACGTGCAGGCTCTCACACGCATTTAACAAGCATTCCCTCTCGAGAGTGGGTACTAGGGGTGTAAATAATAATCGTTTGGTATCGATCCAAAAGCCAACAATCCGTTGCATTGATACGTCCGCAAGAGTATCGATTCATGTTTTTTTTCCCTCGGTCTATTTTTTTTATCCATTCGCTCCTGGACGTAATTCTCCCTCCAGTGCTGCGGTGGCGCTAAACCTATTTTGCCCTCCTGCCTCCTGCCTGCAGAAGTATGTTGCAATGAGCTTGACACAGCCATTTTTTATTTATGCTAAATATGGAAGCGTGGTCTGCGCTATACGCTGTGGGTCTAGATACGGCCGAGAGGAAGTGGGGGCGAGTTTGTCCGACAACGGAGGGACATGAGGGCCAAAAAGAGCAGAGATCCAGGGGGAAAAAGGGTCCCAGCGTTCTCACGCACCTCGCTCTTCTAGCGGGTCAAACTTCACGAGTTGTTTTCCGCAATTTC